AGTAGCAGCGTGTATAGTGTCAGTGCTAGGATGTACTTGAAAGACTTTGCGTACCGCAGGCGCCTTGAGTTCATAGCAAAAGAGTGGCTAGTTGTCAGTGTTCGGAGCGCCAAGTGCCAGACTTCAGTTGCTAACTAGTCGTACCACAGCAGACGAGTGCGCACAGTTGTGCATGGAAGAGCACATCAGACGTCATGGCATCACAATGCATTGTACTGTACAGGGATGTGTCGTACCTAGGCAGTAGCGGGATAGCAGGTCAGTAGAACGGCAGGCGCACTGGTATACACGCCTATGATAGCAGATAGCATACTACAAGAGCGATGACAAACTCTGCAAGCATGATTTGTAAGTGCTTCAGGAGCGCAATCCCACGTTGTCCTTACCACCATACTGGCAGGTAGAGACATCAAGCATGTTAGAATGTCGAGCAATGACCATGTAGCAATGAGCACACGCCAGCAGCAAAGAAATATGATCAGGGAACCCCACTGCGATACAAGAACAAGCGAATTAGGGAATAGTTCAAAAGGACATGAGTGGAGCTGCATAGAAATCTGAAGATGAACATGCGACAGTAGATACGGCAAGTAAGGACAATGTGCATACTACCGCAGCATACAGTAACCACGACCGCAACACAAAGCCCCGAGCAGCAGAAGCAAAGCACAGAAGCACAAAACGATGGCCCGAAGCCCAAAACCCCTAAAGCCAAAGCTTGAACCCCAGCCCCCCAAAGCTGGAGGGTCGGCGTGGTGGAAGAGGAGCGTCCCGAGGGAGTCGCGGAGGCAGATTGGCGCATCCAGCAGAGGCGCGGGCGTGATGAGAAATGGGGGTAGAGTTCGGGAGGTTGTGTAGAACTTGGCACTTTGTGTTTTAAGGAACCGGAACGACAAGCAAATCTAGAAATGGTAGCAGCTTCTAACCGGAGCTGTTATAGTGTCTGTAGTCGTCGACGTGCTGGTCGTGTGGCGCGGATGGCGTTCGCGGCAACTGCAGCAGTTGGAGCCCTAGTAGTTGTCGTCGCAGCCCGTGGTGGCAGTGGTAGTGGTCCTGGTGGTGGTGGTGGTGGTGGTGGTGGTAGTAGTAGTAGTCGTCGTCGTCGTCGTAGTACTCGTAGTAGTCGCCGTACTCGTAGTGGGAGTGGTACTTGGACATAGAGGTAGTGGTAGTAAGTAGTGGAAACAGCAGCAGCAGAAGAAGAAGCAGTGGCAGTTGGGTAGTTGTTGACGTTGTCGTCGTATGGTAGTGTTGGTGGTAGTGCTCCTGCAGCCTAAACCCTGACCCAAACCCTAAGCCCTGAACCCTGAACCCTCAATCCAATCCTTGAGGCAGGGCTGCTGCGCTTGGGGTCTGCCAGTTCAGCCACGGAGCCCGAATTGCCGAAACCCCAACCCCAAAGCCCTGCTCGAAACCTTGTCTGCACAGGTCCAAGAGAGAGCTCAAGAAGAAGGCAAATCGGGGTTTCCGAAGGGGGCACGATGGAAAAGGTTAAACGCATCTACGTGCAGTGTCTCGTGCTTGTAAGTATACCTTGGTGTGAGAATGGCGCCGTTTGTTCACAATGGTGATGCGCGTAATTCAGATTGCAATATGTTGCGCACTGAATGATATCATGTCATATATAATTGGTTGCAAGATCACGCGGTGCACAGATCGACAACATGTATAGAACGTGCAGATGAAAAATAAATGGCGACACACATCGTGCTCTCTCCCTCTCTCTCGCTGTGAGAGAGAGATGCTCTGCCCTTCATCTCAGGAATCGCACGACGTCACATGCCAGCGCATGTCCTTGCAGTCCCCCGACGTCGCTCCGCGAGGTCCCTGCATGGAAGACCATCACGAACGAGACGGTCACTGAGAATCACAGCAAGACGCGCAAGGGCATGCTCTACGGCATCACCTTCCCCTGGACCGGATCTTCATGCCTCAGAGCCTTCCGCCGTCCGTCGCGGGGTCGCTTCGGGAAGGGATCGAATCTTTGTGCGGTTCCGGTTGCAGGACCGAAGACATGCTCCACAGCGAGGAGTGGGGCGCAGAGTGGCTCACCAAGGACCCTTGGGCTCCAGGGTCTTATGGGCAAAGAGTCTGTGACAGTCCGATGTGTTCGGCCTAAAGCTTCAGCCATGCGTGGCCCCGGGAGCTGCGTTTGGCCCACCCCTTGAGACTTGGAAGCCTCAAGCCCAGTCCGTCAGGCCCTCATCTGCTGTGCTGACACTGTGCTGACACTTTGTCGTCTGCTTCTTCCGATCAAACCGACGTGCCACCACTGCCACCACCCACATTCGCCACCACGGCTGCCACCCTCGCCGCTGTGTTTGTGGATGTGCCGGGTTGAACTCGACACAGCTGCTCAGGTTGCTAGGACCCATCGCCAAGATCCCAAACCCTCAAACACCCCAACACCCCTAAAATCCAAAGCCATTAACGCTACACCAGAAAACCCTCAAGCCTGAACCCCAAAGCTAGTAAGCCTGAGCCCCAGACCCCGTAGGCCTAAACCTGCCCAAAAGCCTAAAACTCTTAAGCCTATACCCCAAAAGCCCTCATGAAACCCCCTAACCCCCGAAGCCCTCGACTGCCCCAGGCGATGCATGCCGCCGGCACCTTGCCACAAGAGAACCGGGTAACAAAGGCCAGGTGTTCGGAGCTTGCATCGGGTTTAGTGGTTTTGGCTTCCGGGGTTTCGGGGTTCAGCTGGTTTTGGGGGGTTTAGGGCTGACAACATACACTAGGGCAACCTACCCCCTTTGCAGGGATATCACTTCATATGCTGCCGCCCCCGCTAACAGTTAAATAAAGGTTCCTCCTATATCACACAGGCAGACATGAGCACCAGGATTTGAAGGCGCCGTAGGTTATATCCATAGCAACCTGTATCACCAGAAAAAGCACAATCATGAGCACATAATTTAGCACCAGAAAAAGCACAATCATGAGCCCAAAGTTTAGCACCAGAAAAAGCACAATCGTGAGTACAAAATTTAGTGCCGAAAAAAACACAATCATGAGCACACCAATTGGTGTCATAAAATGCACAATCATGAGCACACCATCCAGCACCAGATACTTGCGGGCTTGCTGGTGCTGCTTGTTGTGCTTCTGTTTGTGGTGACTGTTACTCGGGCTGGCGACATTCAAAGATATCACCCTAAAGCGTTTGTGCTTAGTAGGGTTTAGGGGTTCAAGGTCATCCCAGGGCTCAGAGCTGAAGAGAGACAAGTGCAGGGTCGGACTACTTAGTACCAGTATCTCCTTTTTGTCCTCTTCAATGTATGAACTACCCCCAAACCCTAAACCCTAAACCCTAGTCTAGGTAAAGGAGACTCTGTGCCTTGTGCGAGTTAAGATCCGGGCTCGCGGGCCCTGAGTCTCTCAGCTGCGTGCAGGTGATCCCGGACAAGAGATACAGGACGGTCTTCTGAGCTGGGTTTAGGGTTTAGAGGTTAGGGTTTTGAGTTTAGGGTTTTGGGGTTTTGGGTTTAGGGTTTTGGGCTGCTTAGTGTCTCGATGCTGTCAGATATCTTGTTACGTTCCGAGACCTCTTCTGCCCCTCGTGTCCGCGGTCGCACAGATGCTCACAGCGGTGCACACAGGATTACCACCGGCAACAACGGTGGCAAGTTCCTTTTCGAGGTGGGGGATGGCTAGAAGCTAAAGCGCAGTCTGCTAATTTTCAACCAGCACCCATGAAAGCCTCAAGCCCTCAACCCCAAGCCCTTGCAGCCCTAAGCCCGGGAAGCCCGGGGAAGTCCGGGAAAGGTGGAGTACGAAATTCCCGACGACTGCCTGCACACCAAGCTCTTTGCCAAGATCCCGCATGGCATGGAGAAGGCAGGAGTTGTCAGTATTATTCATCTTGTCATTATTATTATCATTATTATTATTATTCTCATTATTATTATCATCACTATTGGTAGTATTACCGCTATTGTTATCATTATATTGACAACTCCTTATTGATATTCCTCTTCTGCTTATTGTTAATACTACTATCACAGTTATGGTTTTTGGCTTTAGTCGAAGGGTTCTGGGCTCGAGCTCGGGCTTCCCTCGTCCCGAAACCCGTAAACCCGAAATCCTGAAGCCTCGGATTGCAGATTCGGGGGGGTTTTAGGGTTTAGGGTT